AATAAATAAATATGATATAAATAAACACAATAAAAATATAAAATCCACAATAAAGAAAAAGCGTTTATTCGTTATTACTTAAATACATAAAATAGGTGTATTTAAAAAATGAAATATTTCAAATATAGATGAAGAAGATAACGAGAATATTTTATTTCTTCGATTCCCCTAGTGAATGCACAAAAAAAGTTGCCTTGCAGTTAAAATTGAATTCTCATTTTTAAATGATAATTCTAAATCTTTAAAAAGCTCGGTGATTATTCCACCATAAAAAAGCACTCATTCGTTATTACTCTGGTTTATGTTCATCCGCGTCAGTGGAACGAATGCTTTCTTTCGCGAATTTTGTACACTCGTCAGAAAGGGGTTTATTATCTAATGATTTGTTTGAAATATTAGTCGTTTTATAAGGAAATGTTTATTTGACTTAAACATTTTTGTGGTATTGTGTTATTTTGAAAGTGTTAATATTTATTTTATATAATTATTGTTAGATATTGTTTATAAATGTGCGTGGTGGTCAAAATAATAAATCGTAATTGTCAATCACAATAAATTAATAGTTACATTACGAAGATATACAATACGAGTATTTACTGTATTTTGAGGGTTTCAAATATTTAAAATGCGTATATATTTTAGAAAATCAAAACCTAATGTATGAGTTTATATTTAAATATTTATTTACTAAATATTTTGGTGAGGCTTTTAAATAGTAAATCAAAAGTATTTTGCCCAACCCTGATTATTGACCTTTATCAATGAGAAGTGCTGGCTCAAATACACAGAGGTGTGCATTGCCTTCCAGCTGTGATGAATTGCAACGATAAGATCAACGGTTGCAAGTAGGACGAGTATACAAATACACGCATACGTGCTAGCGTGTGTTACACGCATGCATGCACACTTATAAATGAATTCGCATCACACTTTCGTACGTGCGTAGATAACATATGCGTGCGTGCGTACATACATAATATTTTTTTTCCATTACCCTACTTTTATCTCTACCTAGTTTACCACTTCAAGTTATCAGTATAACAAATTAAACTGATAGCTTCTTCTACACCATTTAAACCTCGTTCATTCACCTGTCGACCGTCAGAGTAGTTCTCCTGTTACAGATAATATTAACTTTACCATTCTACTGTGAATCTAATTGTACTTGGGTGATTAGAGAAATTCTTCTTTACAACTGACTAATTTGTCTTTTGGTACGGGAAAAATAGTACACCACAAGACATTACATACGCAGATGTTGTCCAAAAAAGCTGTATTCGTAATTTCCGCACTACTCCAACATTCCGTGAAACTATTTGATAAAAATATTTATTATTAACAAGTAAGAATTGGGTAATCTAAATAGTTCTTGTAGTATTTTATAGTATGTAGCTATTTATAGTATATTTTGTAGTATTTTCACCCCAATTCACTATCCATTTTGAGATACTTGGTTTCAGTGTTCAAATACATGTGTTTTTTTTGTTAACACAATCGCGGCCGAGCTTTAATAACCAATGAAATGTTTTGAATTACAGAAGTAAACAACCAGCGTGTCAATTTAGATTAATTCTTAATCATTTGTGATTTTACAAGCCATTAAATATTAATAATAAAATGAACAGATACAAATTATGAACTATTACAAATTTGGAGGTTTTGAATTATGCTTTCTATAAAATAAATTGAAATTACATCTGTCCTCGTTATACGTATATTTTAATCATGTAATGATTTCTTTCCTGCTGCATTTTTAAGAGCATTTTAATACAACCTACGTTTTGATTTAACAGAAACTCATAGCTTGTGTTTACTTGACTGTCCGGTGAACGCCGCGTCCTAGGCACAGGGGGCAACATTTTGGTCATCTAGCTGCGACGTTCGTCAGGTCGAAATGTCACCTGATCGATCTTCTCTTGCTCACCCTTTGCCCCTTCTCTCCTTACACACACGCCTAGTCTCCCACTATCATGTACCACTCTACCTCTCAGCTTCGGGAGCCAGTTGAAAGCTTACTAGGTTTTATCCCTGGATGGCGTGGTACTTCGCTGAGGTAGATATTAGTTGGGGAAATCTCCAGTAATGGTTACGTTGTTACCGAAACGTAATAACACTAAATTTATGTTATCGGTGATGATTATACAACTTCGAAATCTTAAAACGGGAGGCGGGAGCTTAATTTTTGGATGTAGCAAGAATGCCCTTATTGAAAGTATTTCATTTTGTATTTTCAAATGTTGAAAAACAGTATTTGAAATTATTATTATTATTATTATTATTATTATTATTATTATTATTATTATTATTATTATTATTATTACGTGTTCATTACCCTTCTACATACTTAAATAAAACAATAAGAAAAAGCTTATAGAAGAAATGCTTCTGCTTGTTCAAAAAAGCTAAGTTCAAAAAGGAGGTAAAACGCATACTACACAATAATATAACAAATAGAAAGTATAGTTAATAGTAATATAATTACGTAATGTTTTCATCCTTCTCCTTCTTTCATTCTACAAATTACAAAAATCGGAACTAAATAATTTCGTGCATAAGGAAACAATCCATTCTTTCTTCACCAATATCCATCAATTGTAACGGGCATCTCTCTGGAATCTGCGTGAATGACGGTGGCGTGTTGGCGTTGCAGAGCGCAACCTGGAGGACCACGAGGAGGTGCTGGCGGCGCACTGGGACATGCAGTGCTCGTTCGGGCGGCGCGCCGAGAAGCGCTTCGTCTTCCGCAAGGACTTCCGCAAGTACGAGTTCTTCCACAACCCGCAGGTGAGAGACTCTCCTCCTCCTCGACGATTGTCGGTAAATTACGTAACGCAACTTTGGTACATTATAAATACTCCCTCTTCTTCCCCCTGTAACGCACTTGTAACGTGCGCTTCATCCCCTAAGTAATTACGTAAAGCCTGTACCAAATTCTACAATTTTCGAAAATCGATATGCCATTGGTGAAAATAGATTTTTAATTATTGCAGACATTTGTACAGCATGAGTTCTTTTTTATTTTTTTCAAATTTAGTATGTTCATATTTTAACGTGTTAGTGAAAGACTGGTTACGGATGACTTCCCATTCTTTTGAATGATCTGGTAGTTATGACATGTTCTTAGAGACATTTTGTTCAACAAATCACATTGCTCTGTAACTTCCGTAACAACCTGTTTTTACCTCAGACTAATCTCGATTTACAAATTCAAATTCTATTCTTTGTTCATTGTCTCCTTGGTTACGAAGTGTGATGATCTTATGGAACAACAATCTCAAATATACTATTTTTTCTCCACATCCTGAATAATAATTTTCTTACATGCTTCTTCGTTATTAATATAATTATTGTTATTGATGTTGTTGTTATTACTGCTGCTATCAATGTCGCGAGCAATTCCACAGTGAATTATTAACGAAGGTCATTGTTTTTAATACCTCTTCGTTTCCTTGACCACAAATTTCTTTGAATTTCCATGAATTGTTCGTTCTCTTAGAAATAGAATGCTCTTTGCGTAGTCAATAGAGGTTATTCTTGTGCTAGTCGGTTTGCCCACTTATTTGATTGCGCAACATGTCTTTTTCTTGCACATCTTTACAAGCAAAAACATTTTTTTTACGACATTAAATTATAAAAAAAGATTAAAATGTCAAAAAAAGTGTTTTCAGTTTCCAAATGCTAACTCGATAATAAGAGTCTACACAGCTTTAATGTAGAGAATAGACCTGCATTTTTACCTGCGAATTTACAATATATTTATTATTACGATTATTATTATTGCCCAAATTCACGATGAAATATTAGTTGTGTGTTCAATACAAATGTGAACCGCATGTGACGAATGCCGCACATAACCAGCTGTCATCACAAGTGTAGCAACTGAAGTCAATTGTGATAAAATGCATTGCTGAGCGGGAAGTGAGTGACGTGGATGGTGATTTCGGTTTTATTAATGACTATCTGTAGTGTGATAGCTACATCGTAATGTGGTAACTCGCGTAGTATCGCAGTACTCCTTTGCATCCAGCAATCAACCATCCAATTTTATTCGGACAATAGAAGATGAACTGTCGTTTTAGTATAGAGGTTTAAATGTTTGTGACGTCATGGGATTTTACGCGGCAGTCGTGGAGAGGGAGTAGGGTAGGGGTTGTGAAAACCACATTAGGGAGTTACTTCGCGACGGAGAGAACGATCGAATCAAGTGCATTGACCTTACTCACTCGGCGTACTCTGAGGCCACGGGAGAATCATGCACACACGAGACACTGTGTTTCTAAGACACATGCGCCGCGCACTTGTTTCTGAGGCACATCGGGAACACTAGCGAAATAAGACAAATGCGTTTTTAGTTATTTAATGTCGCATCAACTTCTAGGTCATTAGCGACCACTATTGCTTGTAACGGTATGGTAACTGTGCGGATGATGATACGATGTGATGATGATAGGGGGTGAAAGGAGGAACACAATACAACCATGCCCGAGGCGGGACTCGTACCTGTGATCCTTCGGTTTGAGATCGCTACGGAACTATGGCCTTAGGGATCTCTTTTACCGGATCGGCAAATGCGTTTTTGTAGCCTCCGTTTTTGTCGATTTTCATTCATCGCAGGAAGAAGCATTGTTCTGAGAGGGATATAAAAATGAAATATTGTGTTGCATCGAATGGTCATCTCAAATTATAGAAGCAAAGAATTGCATGATTTGAATATCGCAGTTAGTTAGCAGAGAAACATTACAAAGTTTTGAGAATGTAGTTAATTGTGATAAAATGCGTTACTTGGCCAGAAATTGTCATTTGGGTGTATTTGTTGTTAATGCTAATTGCCGATTGTGTTATATCGTGAGGTGATAGAGCGCATAGTACTCCTCCTCACCAAACTTTCAATCACCACCTTATTTTTTCTGACCTTTACAAGTTACTTGGTAGCGCCATAATACATCCTAACCATTCATTCATTTAACATTTCTATAAAAAAAGCTGGTATAGAAGTATTGTAGTTTGTAAATTTGTTGTGGTCAGTTATTAATTCTAATAGATTTTATTGGCTTTTAAACCGTGTGGCAAAGCTCACAAGGAACTCCCGTTCACGAAACATGGTTCATGTGTATTATACATTAAGCACTCTCTAGCGGAGAGACCGCAAACCTCATCGTTCTCTCGCGCGCCGATGAGCGCGCCACGCTGCGGTTGTGCTGCGATCTAGCGGAGAAGTGGAGAACTGTACGCACTCTGGTATCGTGAGAATGAACTTTAAAGAATTGATTTCTAAAGGGCGGCAAGTTGTGCCATACCCAAACTGCAATTTTGAATATCCGTGTTTGAATAGTAGCGTTACATAGTAGAGGCCATTGCCCCCAGAGCTCTCTTCACGGGGAAAATATGAAAAGTAAGAATTAGAAATCGTCACTTGCTGCGTACTTGAGGAACGTAGGACTTACACCTTGTAGTGGTGAGAATTACAACGAAGATAATTTATATCCATCCCCTTATTTTCTATTCAAAAAATAATCTGGAAACATTGATAATGATATTATATCAATGTGTAACAAACCAGTGCATTTGTTAAAAAGTTCTTGGTCTGAGATTCTAAGTAATAACGACTATCCATTGGGGAAGGGAGCTCAACTTTTCTCAATTTGGAAGTTGAGCTCCCATCCCCGTATTTCGTTCCAATCAATATAAAAATCCAAGCAAAATTTGTGGGTAATTCGACAACACCAAAGCGACCGCCACCGACCATGAAATTTTGAATGTTTGCCTTGTGAATTTTGTAATTCCATTTTTAATTTGTATTATATTATTAACTACACAACAGACTGTGTATCCTGTATTTAAATGCATCACAATACAATGCTCTACAAAAGCTACTGCTTGCTTTTATTATTTTTTTAAATTGAAAAATACGTAAATGCGTCACAATATCATGCTTTGGACAACTCCATTGTTGTCGCAATTAGAACTCAATTCGTTGGTCTCTCTCAACGTCTATGTATTGCACTGGATGGTACTTGGCTTCAAACGTCCTATCAGAAGTTCTTGATTGGTGCAAAATGACTGAAGAAATGGAATTTACATTTTAATGGTCGCTGCAGAAGTTTTTCGAATGCAACTGAAAACCTGATAATAAGTCTATTCAATGCCGTATAAAATGTTAAAACTCGGAAATTCAGGGCAAATTTAATTTGAAAGACTAACAAAAATTAGTATTGCAGTGGGATGAAAATTTACTCTCGTCACTCCAAAGGAGTATAAGGTTGGTAGGCGGGCAGCAATATTAACTTTTTAAGGAAAGGGGCCATTGCTGGAAGTTCCTGAAATCCCAAAATCATCAGGAAAGGAACAAGTGATAGGTGTTTACGAAGCAGCAGAGAAGTGGAATATAACCGAAAAAATCAGACACTTCGCTCTATACGAGAAAAAATGGGACAGGTCGAGTAAAAAAGGTATACAAAAATCTCGAAAAGTTGTTTAATCGTAACCTGTTGAACCTACCTTGACATTATTACGTTGTTCATTTAATTTTGCGGAGGTGTTTTAATTCCCTGGTGGGTGCAATTTCTGGTCGAGATAAGTAACATTTGAAAATATTTAGTTACACATGGTCGTATCTCGACAATAAATTTTACAGTAGTGGAAGCAATGACGTTCCTGATGATATTCGTTTTCCCATTCTTGGATTTTTTTGAACACCAACTTAGTGCACAGAAACCAACCACGAAATGATGACAGCGAATGAGTGGAGTTAACTGTAATCTTTCTCAGTGGCATTCTAAAGAATGGGATTTGTTTCCTACGACTAGAGCTGTAAATCATGCTAGATGGATGGCAAAGGCTATTGTGCATTTAAAATGTAAATATATCAAGGTCGATTTCACTTGCCTTGTAGGACGAACAACTCTTTGACAAGAATATGTATTTTTCTCACTCGATGGTACGTCATACCATAGTTTCTGTTATCAGAAGCAATGGAGGAACCATATCACAATTTTCTATTTATCTCTAGCATTCACGGATAAGATGAAAGTGACAACAATTAGCTTTTTCAGATGGTTGCCGAAGATCGTAAAAAAATTCCCAACTGTTGCTATATTTTCTCTTAGGACAAAATAATGTTCGGTGTTTGTTTGTTCAAATAATGTTTTGACTACGGAAATGACTGCAGATATTCAGGTGTTTCTGTTGTAGGGGGGGGGGAATGTTAAAAGCTAATATTTCTTTAATTTTAATTTAATTTAAGACATTATTAAATTAACTCTTCACTAATTTGATATAGAATGTTTTTCAACAGTTCGTGGAATTTGCCTGAATAATTCGCAAATATTGGGAAAAAAATGTAATTGTTACGATGAACTTTTTAATTTTTTCAGATTTTTAATGGAATTGTGTGCTGCATTATTATAATTAAACTTTATTGTGTTTGGGGGTCGCCTAACAATTGTTCGATTAGACTAAAACTTTGTGCAGTTAATTTTCTTGTTGAATAAAACGGAATAGGGTGTGGGAGCAGAAAAAATCAACCTTTCAAAAATTACCCTTTAGTTAAGACATACCCACCCTACTGACAATTACTGAAGCAAGAATCTCGCCACTCCCAAAATTTTGCAATTTTTAAGTCGCCACTAGTAGAACAAAATTGAGGTTCAAAAATACATTAGCGAAAAAAATTAATAATTGGCCATTTTGAGACAAAGAAAGTATTCATAACTAATCATGAGTTTATTATGGGATAAAATATAATTTCCCAATGAGTTTCACATAACGGGTGTAGTACTACAACCCTAGTATTTTGAGTAAACTACGAAAATGTTCTC